AAATGTAATGTGGTGTGATTGCGGCAAGTTCTAAAAAGTTCATATCCCTTACTCGCATATACTCGCTTCATGCTTACATGCACATTACGACTATCAAACTTAGATATCTCTCATATATACCTTACACTAAGTTGCAAAAGTATACGAAGGACAGTTTAGAGAGCTCTGACATGAAGATTATTGGTCTACTTATATTGGTCCAACTTTGTGGCCAAATCCAGAATTCAAGAGAACTTTCAAGGGTGGCCAAAGTCCAGCAGGATTAAAACAGATATGAACATTACAGAACAACATAATCAGTTTCTGCCACTATTGATCTTTATTGTTGTATTGAATTTTAATAAATTTATTTAGTTATATTTATAATGTTAATATTCAATAAATTTAATTATTTGATGTTAGTTTCTGAGTTTTAGTATTTGATTAGTAAAAATCGAACTAAAAAATTTTATTTATAGGCCAGAACGGCCCGTTCCAAGTTTAGAACGGCCCGTTCTGGTTCCACTTTTTGTGTGCATTTTTTGAATCCAGAATGGTCCGTTCTGATCCATTCGTCATGTGTTATTTTTTCATCTGGAATGGTCCGTTCTGGAATCAGAACGGTCCGTTCTGGAACGTGAACAGTAAATAGTGCTAGTCTGGAAAATAAATCTGCACAGTTGTTATTTGGGTAAATATTTTTTAAAATAGTATTATTTGAGTAAAAAATTCCCATTTTTTTCAAGTACGGGCGGATTACTTATTTATTTATTTATTTATATAGCTTACAAAAATTATTACATCCTTTTTTATTTAACAAACCAAATGGCTGAAGAATTATAAACTTTTAACTTTTTCTATGATTCTTTTGTTGTTCTGCACGTCATACCTAGTAATTGATCTATGATCTCAACTATTTCATTTAATATTTAATAATTACTACTAAATCTGATTAAACTTTCTTAAACTCCTAAACAACATTAATCTAATTAAAAAAATCTCTAACAATGCTTTAATGATGATTTATTTTACTAATTTGTTTATTTTACTTATAAATTGAATAATAATTTAGATTATTATAATAGAAATTACTATATATATTTGAAATTTTTACTGTCTTAAATTGTCATAATTTGATTTTTTTAACTGAATTTTTACCCTTAAGGTGCGACTAATAGAAAGAAAAAAATTCATATCCTCATTTGTTTCATTACTCATAAATACTAATAAAATATATTATGATTAATAAATAACTTTATCTCTTAAATATATAGGAAAATTTGATTTTTAGTCTATATATAAAAAAAAATATATGTGGTAAAGTTCACTCTTATTGATATACACACACAAAATCTTTACTATTTTGGATCTTAAGCGCGCAAAAAAAAAGTAATAAAAAATTTATTACATAAATTTTGTCATTTTCAATTTGAATTCAAAATTTAGGTTTTTAACACATTATACCAAGGTTTTTTTTTTTTAATAAATTATGTAGGAAGAAAAATATACACCTCGTATGCGCTTACAATCCCGACAAAGAGTCACTGTTTTCGATGATAGATATTTCGTATAAATAATATGGTTACAAAAAAAAATCAAATACTTTTAAAAAAAAACACTTTATTAAAACTTAAATTGCACTTTTAATCCTTTATTCTTATCAATCTGCAATTTTAGTGCCTCTATTTTTAACGAAACATTTAGTCTCTTATTTTTAAAAATACAAAATTTTGGTACTATCGTTAATTTGATGTTTGTTAATCATTAAATTTTGACATTCTTATATGGCCTAATACCATTTAAGTTACGTGAGGGACTAAATTAAATGTTCCTATTTTAAAATAGAGACCAAAATTACAAATTGACAAAAATAAAAATTAAAAGTATAATTTGGTCTATCAAAATTAGGTTTGACAAAAATAGAGATAAAAAATATAATTGTGTCTATATCAAATTAACAAACATACAAAATATGTACCTTCGTGTAAATAATTTTTCCTTATTTCCTCTATAATTTCAAAATTTTTATATTTCTAAATTTTTTATCTAATAAAATAAGACCCTCATTATTAATAAAATAATATATTTTATCACATTCCTTTTGTAATAACCCGTCAAGTCTCACACAATCTATAGTACACAAATACATGCATAAAATAAAATATCATTACTTAACAGTTATATATAAAATGAGAATACTCAACTAAAATGTCACATAATATATATATATATATATATATATATATAACCGAAGTATGACATGATCTCCTATACAACATCAACCACGTAGTCAACCACTACCAATCCACTACAAAGTAACACAACTTCACTTCTTTGCAGAGTCTCAACTAAAAAGAATATTTGTCATCATCTCACACTACCTACTCCTGCTTTGCTCGCATACAAAATATGGTTATAGTAGTTTTCACCACAAGGAAAACAGTTAGGGTAAACTCACAACAACAATCATCATAAAACAACATCATCATAAAATAAGCAACAATATATAATGCAATCATTCAACTTTAGAAGACACAAAACATACAACAACATATGCAATATCAACTAGTGCGTCATCACACTTATACAACTTAGGAGACTTCCAACAACTGAGGTTGAGCAGTCTAGGTGGCGTAAACCCTACAAAATCCAACTTTTGACCTATCTCAACCAGATTAGGTATAGGACAACATTAGGAACTCTGAAGAGAACCAAGTATAGACAACAATAGTTGATTGCTCAGGTTTGTCACTTAGACTCGGAGGTCTAGTACTACTGTCGAGGTAGAAGAATTCGAGTATGAGCGTACCACGACCTTGGCTTGCATCACCAATCCACATGTGGAGTTAGTCCACCCAATGCCCTCCAAGTACCATGCATCCTCAGTATCTAGTCAAAGACTACATCTCTAACTAGATACCTTACTCACTTTGGTCATTCAACCATAACATGGATCGACTACTTCCATGTTGCCCACATAGTACTAAGGGGTTCAACTTTAAAACAACTTTCAACTTTCACCTTAATATTATGTATCTCAACATAAGACATATATCATCAACCATACGTCATCAACTTAACAACTTTACAACTATAGTCATCATGGTATCAACTTTAAAAAACAACTTAACAACTTTAAAACAACTTTACAATTTTAATCAATTTTATACAACTTAACAACTTTCAAACAACTTTAGAACATAAACAACTTACAACTTACACATCTCAACATCATTATAACATCATCAACTTCAATACAACACCTTAATATAACATCATTAACATTAAACAACATGTAAACAACCTCAACCAACAACTATACAACTCATGCTCATCATTTAAAAGTCAACAAAAGACAACACACACATGTAGTAGTACTAGACTAGATCATGTGATACTCGTCCAGCGCTGCCCAGCCCGCACCCAACGCTAGAGACACCAAGTGTCTCTTGGTGCTTATGTGCCCGACGCAACTCCTCCTACACCCGGTACCTCAAAGTCAAAGGCTCAACTTCTAAATTGCGTTCGACACAATTATCTTTACACTCGACGTAATTCAACCCGAGACTCTTTGTCTCATTCATGCCCAGCACAGGACTTCCTGCACTCAGCGCTTAAGAGAGTGTGGCTCTCTACTAGGATCGCGTCCAACACTTACTTCTTCGTGCCCGACATGATCTCAACAGAGACTCACACTTCAACTTTACTGATATCGCGCCCAACGCAGCCTCTTCCACATCTAGTGCCATTCAACTAGAGGTCCCAATTCCACTTCATGTCGAGCGCGACCAACTTCACGCCCAACGTGATCATGATATTTGGGTCTCTATTGAATGCTCGCCCGACGCCATGAAGGCACGTCCGGTGCAAGTTCAAAGATCAACCCAAATAACTTGCATTTTCATCAAATACCTCCGTTTTCAGAAGGTCCAACACATACAACCAATCCCCAAGCATTTTATAACAACATACAACAACTAAACAACTGAGAATAGCAACATGCAACCATAGATTTAACTCAAATCCTCTCTTTTCTATTTCAACTCAAAAACCCCATTTCTACTTCAATTCTTTCAACTCAAATCCACTTACACACCCACACACACAACTCATACTTCATCAGAAAATCAACTTATTGATTCAAACAATAAAATGGTGAGCTTCCCTAACCTGAAAATTTGAAATCTCCGAGGAACGAAGAGAAACACAGAGAAGGCAGGGGACGAAACTACAACTTCACCCTCAGGAGCTTGGACCTCCTTCTTCTACAATGGCTCAGCACCTAGAATGAGAGTGGAAGAGTGTCTAAGAATTTTCAGAAAAGGATGTAAGTGAAGGGGAGAAGGAGAAAAAGCAGGTTTAGAACATTACATTTTCCTTTTTAAAGATACACAAGTTAATTATATTAAAGATAAGACTGAAGGTATATTATATTATTATATGTTAATTATTAAATAAAAGACTAAAAAAAATCACTAACACACGCACTATTACATGCGTATGTACAGGAATCCGGCAGCATTAGGATTTATGCTGTCTCCGAATCCATTTTGGTGGATTTTTTTTTTGTTTCCATCCCACAAAAACAAATATATATATATATATATATCAGAGATCCTAACACTGCGTTCGGTAGCAACAACATAGGGGGAGGGCAAAATAATGTGTTTTATTTTAGTGTGCATCCACGACTTGGTAGTGCCAAAGTTGAAACAAAAATGGTCCTCACACAGAATCAGACTCCCACTAAAAGTTATACTACAATCACGAATCCGGTACATTGTGCATACTCAAAGCTGCTGATGTAACGTATGACCAATATCTATTATACAAGTGAATGCTACAAGTCAATTTTGTTAAGCTGAATTAAGTTTAAACCCAGGTTTTAAAACTAATCTTTTGTGGACTCTTCTTTCTCTCACCGGTACATGTACATGTTTGTAAACAATCATATCGTATCATGATATAGACTTGTCAATTTAATGCAAACACTTTTCTGATAATGTTGGACTAGAGACCTCTCAATCAAAACACATGATAACATTTACACTTTATAGTATTAATATATGATTTACCGTACAAATCTTTGACTCCAAGAAATACATAATGAACAACTAGCAAACTCTTGAATGGAGAGACAAATAACACAACCAAGGGGCTCTCTACCATGGCATTCATAATTAAGCTGGATTAGTTTTCTCAAGACAAACTAAACTACTAGTAACTACTGTCCTGAAGTGGAGAACGATGGTGCACAGCCTGGTGAGCTTGACGGGTATTAGTGGAGCGGAATTTAGGCTCTGCAGGTTTCTCATTCGCAGTTTGAATTCGCTCCAAACTCTCCAAAACTTCCTTCATTGATGGCCGCTGTTTGGGCTCAGATGCAATACATTTCAAAGCAAGCTGAGCTATACGAAATGCTGCTTTCGATGGAAATTTCCCTTCCAAACGAGAATCCATAATGCTCTTCAATTTTCTTCTCTCATACAGGTATGGTTTGACCCACTCTGTTAGATTATGTTGCCCACTTGGACGGTTGGGATCAAGTGCTCGTAGCCCTGTTAGTATCTCCACCAAAACCACTCCAAACCCATATACATCACTCTTTACATATAGATGCCCTGCATAAGAAACCAACAACATTTCAAGGTGCACTACTTTAATAATCAAATACTTGAACCTGACTAAACATAGCTTATAAGTTCTATGCACTAAAATTAGAACAGCGAGACATTACCTGTGGCCACATACTCAGGAGCTGCATAACCGTATGTGCCCATCACCCTTGTGGTCACGTGCGATTGACTAGCTGAAGGACCCAATTTTGCCAAGCCAAAGTCTGATATCTTTGCATTATAAGACTGTAGCATAACAGAGAAGGTAGTTTAGTTGTGCACCCAATAGAACATACTAAACTTGTTAGAATTCATGGCTCAGGAAGAAAGAAGGATAACCCACATTTGTAAGGAAACTAAAACGATTTCTGATATTGATGGTAAAAAACAGGTAAATCATTCATTTTAATTTGTCATAATGTTGATAACATGGTAACAGGAAATATATGGTTTGTATGCTTATTTTGCTAAGAAGATACTTTTGGGTGTTGCAGAACTCACCCCATCAAGCAATATATTGGAGGCCTTGAAGTCTCTGTAAATTACTTTCTCGGATGTGTGCAAGAATGCAAGGCCACGAGCTGCTCCAATTGCTATCTTAAGCCTGATGTCCCAAGGAAGTGGTTGAACAGCAGAGCCCCCTAAAATTAAAATAATGTAGCTTATGGTTGGAAAGATACATTTATTTTGCTATTATATTTCATGTTTGAACTATCATACACTGCCAAGACGGTGGTATTTAATTAAGTACTCACTTCCAAATAGATGGTTTTCCAAACTGCCCTTTTGCATAAATTCATAGACAAGAAGAAGCTCTGGGTCCTCAAAACAGTATCCCAACAGCTTAACAAGATTAGGATGAGAAAGGCGTCCTAGAAAATGTACTTCGGACTGCACCACATGAATGAACCATTAGTTTAATAGCAACTTATAAGTCTATGATTACGTATATTGATGAAAGAAGTAACAAAACATGAACTGAGGCCAGAAACCAATGCCTTCAGTTTTATAATAAAGCAAGGATTCTCATCTCACTCTTATTACAATTACAGTATATATTACATAGTAAAGCAAGGGTTCTCACTCTTAGTGTTTTGTTTAGTAATGCAATTAGTTGTCACTCTGCTACACTTTGCCTTTATCCTCAAAGGGAATGCAGGTTGTATGAACACGGTGATTATTTAACTTTCACATATCTAATTCTAGTACCAAATGGAGCATGGAATCTGCGGTGAAGGTGAAACTACGAAAAAAGTTTTCAGTGCAAGCAGTAGATGCATAAAACTTTTCACTTCTGGAGTACATTAAGTAACAAATAGATAGTGCATAAGATAAGAAGTTATGGTACGGCAGGCAATTGTCAATTTATTTACTGTTCCCATCTGTGTTGCCTCTCAATCTGCATTATCCAACGTGCTAGTACCTAGTAGTGTATAAGATAAATAGGAGAAAAGTAAAAGGGGTTTGATGTAGGATTACATACCTGCCACTCCTCAACTCCTTGTACGCTTTCGGAGTTCAATTTTTTGACGGCTATGACTGCTCCACTTCCCCCAGCCTTTGACGAGGTCTTGTCTTCAAGCCAACCCTTGAAAACTTTTCCAAACCCTCCCTCCCCAAGCACTGTATCAGCCCTGAAATTCCTAGTTGCAGCCCTCAACTCCGCAAAAGTGAAGACCCTCAAATTAGAGGTAGGTAAGATCTGTCCATTTGAATAAGGTTGAACACCGCTGGACACGGAGAACTTGCTATTTATGGAGCTGTTCCCACTTCCAGAAGAAGTAGTGGTGGTTGTAGTTGTTGTAGTAGTAGTATAGCTGCTGCTGCTGATGGACTGAGATGTCCCCGGTGTAGCTGCATAGTCATCATAATACAAGATTAGGAACAAGAACAAAAAAAGGATAAATGAAATGAATTGAGTTTGAGAGCAAAGAAGAAACCTGTACTAAGGTTACCGGTGGTTGTTGGGGTTGGGTTGTGAGGTCGAGAACCCCAGCAATTTCCCATTGTAAGGTGCAGAAAGAAGAATTTTTCAGTTGTGTGGCTCCGATGGATGAAAGCAAACCATTAACTCTTGCTTCTTCAACGCATGCCCAGTATTCTTTCCTTTTGCTTTGGCGTCAATAATTGAAATTAGCTTTGGTTTGGCCTATAGGATATGCATCTGGTACAGGAAAAGGCAAAACTTTAATGCGAGGATGATTTAATAATTGTTATGGTATTGACATATAAGTCACATGGACCAAGTCAGTCACCCCTTCGCAGGTAATTGCTGCCAGCCTTACCTTACCATTCTCTAAGTCAACTTTCCTGCCGTGTGATGGGGAGACGACCACGATTTCAGTCAAATCACACCAAAAATTCTATTCAAAGTTCAAACAACACGTCTCTCACTCTTTCGTTGAATAAAAACATAGACCACCAATTACAGAATATTATTATTATATTGCCGCTCAATTTCTATATCTCTTTTCAGTTCACAACAAGTTTATGTTTATTCCACCACTCACACATGAACTTCATAACTTACGTTAACTACACTTGTATCAAAATTATACTAATACAAAGAAGAAGAATAATTATAAACCAGGTTATAGTGAAGTCATTCTCTATCTTTTCTACTTATCTATTTCTTTATTGTATTTATATGATTAATATAAAATTTATGTACAAATATAATATAATTTCTGTAAAATATTATCGATTCACAGGGTATAACTCTTCTAATCTTGTAGCGGATGAAAATGAGAATAAAAAACTTCTTTCATAATAAATTATTTTATCCTAATTTTTAAACTAAAGATGTAAGTGAATTAAGCTCGATCCAAAGTCAAAACTTCCATACCTAAATAATAATAAGTTTTTATCTAAAGAGGGTCAATATATTATACAAAGAGAATTGTTTTTAAAAAACAATTATCACTTTCATGTGAGTAACAGGGATATCGATAATCAACTTAATATCACCTTGTGTTATGATATTATTTTTTCAAAAATGATTTGAAAATGAAGTTAGAGTCATATGCGTCAATAATAATTATACACGTGACTCAAGTGACACTTGTTATAAGTAATTATAAACAAGTGATATTACTCTTAAGTAAAGATATTTTTTTTAATAATGGATGTCGCTACTTCTAATAAGGAACTAGGTTTTGTATTATTTTTTTTGTAGGTAGTGTTACTACTCTAATGGGGATCAATTTTTTTTTTAAATTAAGGTTCCTCTATCTTTAATGCGGATTAACTTTTTTTTTAATGTTATTCAAGTGTCGTTAACTCAATAGGGGTCAATTTAAAAATAAAAAAAACATAGATAAATATAATAATATTTTAATTATTATTCAACAAACATTAACATTATGAATCACCTAAATTAATTGATAAATTACCATTGTACATACTTTCATCATGTAAACAAATAATAATTTCATTAAGAGTGCGTGATTGATGCAAACATCGTAAAATATACTTTGCACTTCTTTCAATCTTAACATATAATTCAATCGGACGTGCTTTATAAAATTTTGTATATACATAAAACATGTAAGCTACATCATTATCGTTCATGAGTTGAACTAAAATATAATCAACACAATCATCTTTTTGACAACAAATTGGATATCAATAATGAAGTTCTTTTATAATTCTTCTAGAACTGTTGTTGATTTTTCTTTCGTAAAAAATAGAAGATAATATAGAAGTCACTTTTTTTTAGGAAACAAACAAAATTACTGCTTCAAATTTGATCTCCCAATGGGAGTAGTGACCGTATATTAAAAAGAATTGATCTCAATGGGAGCAGCGACACTTAAATAACATTAAAAAAAATTAATTCCCCCATCGATAATAATAGAACCTTAATTAAAAAAAATCCCATTAGGGTAGCAACACTATCCACAAGAAAAAAAATACAAAATCTAGTTCTCCATCGGAGATAGCGGCACCCATTATTAGAAAAATTTGATCCTCACTAGAAAATAATGAAACTTGTTTATAATTATTTAGAATAAGTGTCACCGGAATCACATGCGGCATTATTATTGACACATGCAATTTTGACTCCACTTTTAAGTCATTTTTGAAGAAAAAAAATATGTTACACAAAGTGACCATGAATTGACCAATGACACTCTAATTGAACATATTAAAGTGGTAAAATATTTTGAAACAATCTTTTATATAATATCTTTACATAATGATTCCCTTAAGCAAAAAGCTAAATAATAATATTAAAAGACACATTTTTTATCTAATTTTTCAAAAGAACAATTGCTTATACATTTCTTGGCAAAAACCAATAGTGGTTCAAATCTCTTTATACTACAAAACACTTTATTAATTTATGCAAATGGATTTAAGCCAATTGACCAAATTAGATACCTGTTAAAAGTATTTACTAAAATGATACTATATTTAAAAGTATTTATCAATTTAGTGCAATCACAAATCACTACCTAAATAGGCATATATTAGTTACCGTTAGGCCCTCAAAATACTGTATAATAATATATTATTTATGACTATTTTGGCATAATTTAATATTAAGTGTATGGTAAATTTTCTTATTAAGTGTATAATAAACACGATAAATATTTAAAGAAATTAAATCTATAAACTTAAGGACTAAAATGGAGCAATTCTAAACTTTGAAGTCATGTATGACTGTGCTTATTTGATGTACAATCATGTTTCAAGTGAAAGTACATCCAAATGCACGTGTTATAAAGCACGATCTTGCTTGCCAACATGCATGATTGTGCTCCCCTTAGAGCTCCTGAACAACAAGCACACTCCTGCCACTAATAAAGCATGGTCGTGCTTACTCATAAGCACAATCATGTTTTATGAGATGTACGATTGTACTTAAAAGTTTACCCTAATTTTTTTACTATAAATAAGGATGTCCAAACTATGATATTTAGTTTTTAGTTTTAGTTTTTATACATTTTTTCTTTTTCCCCTGTTATATGGTTGTGATGTAATTGTTCTTTGTGAACCTCCAAATTGAATGAATTCATTTTTTTAGTTAATTGTCATATTATTTTAGTATTTTCAATTCTTATCCTAGTTAATTGAAAGTGTATGATCAAACTCTTTTGATTAAAAAAACTCTAAAATAATTTAATTTTGAAAATTCGCGTGATCAAACTATTTTCTTAATTCTCAATTGAATTAATTTATTAACTCGCTTTTACATTTTTATACTTTGCTTTTCAGATAAACTTCTTACGATCAATTTAAGGTTTTCTTAAAATAAAGTCTAGTGACTTTCTAAAAACAAATGGTTGTCAGTAATTTTTTAAGTACATCGGTAACAATATTTTTATATTTCATGAAATTTATCTTGAGGGATCGGAAACAATAAGTAACAAGATTTCTAATATTTGAATTTCAATCATTTTATTTTCTACTTTAATTATTTTCTTACAAATCAAATTTATATTCTTTTAAATTATTAAAAATCGCAATCATCTTAATAATTGCTTTAACCTAATTCTTTTATTTTAATATTTAAACACTGTCCATTATCACTGTTGCACTAAGATATTTTTGTCTTTAAGTTTATTTTTAAACGCAACATTTTACATCAATTTTGTTTGATTAATTTGATAAGTTTTTCACTAGTAATTTTTATATTGCTACTATTTCGTTGTACTTTTTTTTTAATATTTCAGTGAAAAATTATAACTAGATTAACGTTATCACCATAATATACAAGTTAAAACCAAAACTTCAACACCTTAATAAATAAATAATATTATATTTCTTTTGAATCATTGTATTTAGTATTTGAGAATATTTATTATTTTAAAAGCCAAATTCCAGCTTTAGGTACAAGGTTTTCACCCCAATATACAAGTTAAAATAAGAACTTTAACAGTTTAATTGTTAAATGAAAAACAGTAGCGTATTTTTTTTCATCATTGTTGTATTTAATAATTGAGAATATTTGTGAATTAAACTTATATATTAGAGTTATATTAGAGTCAAAACGCTAGTGAAGTTCTAACTTTTCACTAAAAGACAAAATAATACAACATAATTGCATGTCATGTAGAAAGACCAAGCCATTAGAAAGTTAGTTTTTCACTAAGAGATGAAAATAAAGGCAAGTGACATTCATGTGGAAATTATGTAAAACAAAATTCGATAACCGTGAGATACACTGTTTGTTTCGGTAAATTAGATGATATGATATTTAAATTGATTATATAATTAAAATTTGATAATAATAATAATAATAATATATAAAGTATAAAATATTAAGATTAAGCTAAAAAAATAACATTAAAAATAAATATACACTAACTTGTCATAAATTATTGAAATATCTTTGTAAATAATATTAGAACACATTTGAATCTTCATTTTTATTATGAGTAATTAAAAATTTTAATTTACTTTTTGACGTAATTCTTGAAATTGCTATATACAGTTAACCATAAAAAATGATTTCAGAAGATACACTCCAAGGTGCTTTAAAAAGTTGACCATGACTTTTGTTAATAATTATTGCAAATGAAACAATCAATGAAAAATATTTTTATTAAAATTTGAATGGAATACTAAAAGAGTTAATGATAACTTAGGTATATATATCTTAAGGCTAATTTGATTTTTTGAAATGACTTTTCGTTCAACAATATGTAAAATTAATTTTGATATTTTGATTTTTTAAATTTAGTCAAAATATTTAAAGAAGTAGTTTTCTTTTACATAAAATAATTATTTTAATTTTTTTTTTCTTTTTGTAACATTGTTTTGTGAGTTGTTTATTTATTTTAAATTTTAATATTTAATTTATTTACGATGATGTGTTGTTTTGGTATTTTTAAACTCTAAGGATTAAGAAAATTCTTGAGAGATTAATCATTTGATGTTGTTTTTTGTTGAGGTCAGGATTGACCAAGTTCAAGTTTGTGAGAAATATATAAGGTTCTCTAAAGACTTCATAATTTCTTAAAGTTTTAGAGAAAAGTTTTGAAAAGAAAGGCGATAGAACCAAAATAGTTATTTTCTTCTTTTTTGACTTCATAGGACCGTTTCAATTCCTCCCTTTGAACAATGTTGTACTAGTTGAGTTGAGATTCGAAAATGAGAAGTTGAGAATTAGTGGTTGAAGTTGCCGTACAACGAGTTCTTAAAGAGTTTCGTTCTTCGCTAATCTTTTTTCCTTTCTTTGAGTTTTAGAGCAATTGCGGTAAAAAAATCTTGTTGTTTGATTCTTTGAAATTGTTTCTTGTTGTATTTGTTAATGATTTGCCCATCGATTGTTTAATTTGTTGTTTTTGAGGTAATTGTTGAAGATGGTGAAGTTGAGGTTTTGGGGTTGATGAACCAAAACCCAAAATTGATGATTTCTTTACGTAATTATTTTGTATGTTGAGTCCAAGGTTAGATTTATGTTATCTAAGTTGTTTTAAATCATTTTCATAGTTTGAATTTCAATTATTGAATCTGTAGATGAGTTGCTGATGTAGGAGGTTAAAAAATGGTGAAGTTGTACGAGGGATTACCATAATTTTGTTGGGCAAGTTTGGATAGGCAAAATTGGGTGCAGAGACCATTTTGAAACCAATTTGACTAGGCCAAATTTCTTTGGCCAAACAACATTTGGACATATTCACCTAAAGGTTGAAATGGCTAAGCCAAATTTCCTTGGCCAGACTAAATTTGAATAAATTCACTTGAATAGTGTTTCAAGTCAAATTGGTTGGGTCAATTTTTTATGATTAAGCAAAGTTGAGGTAGAGGCCATTTTGAAGTCAAATTGGTTGAGCCAAATTTTTATGGCTAGGTGAAAATAAAATAGAGACCATTTTGAAGTCAAATTGATTCGATCAAATTAATTTGGCTGAGCAATTTTAGGGACTTACATGATATTTATTCTTTTACTTATTTTTATTGATGTAAGTTGATGGTAATTAAATATAATTCCCAACATGTTGATATATGATGATGATTTAAGTTGATTACAGTTGAAAGAATCATGTTGTAAATTTTTTAAATAAAGTATGTCGAGTTATTTAAGTTGAATTAGATAATATTCCAAGTGTGTAATATTTCATCAACCATCATAAAAACTAAACTTTGATTATCTTCAAGTTGTTGTTTAATTTTAACAAAATTTGATATAAACATATAAAGTGATATGAAATTATAATTTAATAGTTAGATTTACACAATTCATATTTAATATAAAATTATTAAGCGGTGTAATATTTAGTAAAAATTTCATCGATATCGTTTAAATCCTCCTCTCTCTCTATATATTAATATTAATAGAACCCATTTTGGAGTAAGAGAAATGTTAATGACATTTTATAAGAAATTGTGTGGGTGTTATCGAATTTTATGAAGTAAAATAAATCACAAATTTTTAAAGTCTTATATCTTATTTTACAACTCTCGTTTCTATTTCATTGATAAAATGCTCAAAAAGAAATTTTGATTTTAAACTAATGACAAGAAGAATATTAATAAAAGATTGTTACTAGCTAACATTTTTTTTAAGAGAAGTGATTTCTCATGTTGAAGTTTGGATCAAATATAAAGTATGGATTAAAAAACGTAAATGTCGAAACATTTTTGTCAAAAGTTTTGGATTCCTAAAAATATATTTTAAAATATTATCATCTTACATGGTTTTCACTAAAGATTTGCTGCTCTTTATTGTTTTATTAGTTTTTTTTAGTTTATATAAAAAATCTTAGAGAACACTTGTTGTTATAAGACAGAAGGAATAATTTATTAAAAAAGCTTATTAATGAGAAATAATTTTACCTGAAATAACTGGTTTGGAGCAACCATTGGTAAATTATTCATTCGATAACTATTTTTTTTCCTCGTAAATTCAATTATAATGTATTAAAATATTTATTTATAAAAAAATTACTTTAATTATATCAAATAAGTAATTATTTTATATAATACACAAATTAAGAAACCAATCACGAATAATTAAAAATAATCTTAAATTAAAAATTAAGTTGTTTATTACAAATTTAAAACATTTATATATTTTAAAATATTTATTTATTATAAATATAATTTTTAATTATTAGAAGAAAAACGGAATTCACAATGGGAGGCACTGGCTGAAAATGTGATGAGGGAAGGGAATGGTATTTTTGAAATATGGTAAGCAAAGAGGATTAAAATTGTCCGCTAGGCGAAAAATGAGAATCGGGAAATGATCTGTAATTTCGCTGTTGGGTGAGTGAGGCGGAGGCAAGGGGAAGTGCAAATCCAGCGATTAATCACGAATTGGATGATTGGTTGCGATGTTCGTTGAGGTTTTGTGAATCACGGATTGATCCTTTGCAATTGCATGCTGTGATCTGCAAAGGCAAACTAAAGAAATTCAAATCAGGCGGTGCTGTTGAATACTGCAATGGCATCAAATGTCGATCTCTTCGATGCTTATTTTCGACGCGCCGATTTGGATCGAGACGGCCGCATCAGCGGCGCCGAGGCCGTCTCCTTCTTCCAAGGCTCCGGGTTGCCCACGCAGGTTCTTGCGCAGGTCTCTCTCTCTCTCTCTCTCACACACACACACACACTTTATTCTCAATTTCTGCTTATCATTTACTTATTACCTTCCCTGCCTCCCATTATCAACTACCACTAAGCATTGCTTTTAATTAATTAATTAGCCACTGCTTCAGAAATCCGTTCCTCTAAATGCTAAATAGTAAATACTTCACAAATCATACTCACCTCTCTTGTTGGTCTGCAGATTTGGGCTTTTGCAAACCAAAGCCAAAGTGGTTTCTTAGGCCGGGCAGAGTTTTACAATGCCCTTAAACTTGTTACTGTGGCACAAAGTAAGCGGGAGCTGACCCCCGAAATGGTAAAAGCAGCATTATATGGCCCCGCTGCATCTAAGATTCCTGCACCTCAAATTAATTTCAGTGCCACAGGTACACCCCCCGCACCTGCACCTGCACCTGCTCCACAGACTGCCCCTGTTAGTCCTTTATCCCACCAAAATCTTGGACTAAGGGGGCCAGTTCCAAATTTGAGTAGTAACCAGCAAAACTTTCCTTCTCAGGAAAGTCAGCCAGTGAGGCCTCCTGCTTCTAATCTGCCACCTGGTGTTGCCACTCAAGGAATTACTGTTGGTGGATTGCGCCCTCAAACCGTTGGCATTTCCAGTTATGGGTCATCTGGCAAGATGGGTGGAGCTCCCGAAGTAACATCCTCTCAAATGGTAGTTAGAGGCGGTAGTCCCCCATCAACACAGGATGGGTTTGGGCTTGCAACCTCTGGATCAAATGTGCCACGGGCGCCTGCTCAGCATCCTGCCTTTGGCACAAAGTCATCAGATCAAATGGTTAATGATTCTAAATCAGCGGATACTTCTGCTAATGGCAATGCTTCTGATCCATTTTTTGGAGGAGATATGTTCTCAGCTAGCTCATTTCAGCCGAAGCAAGTTTCTTCTCAACTAGGATTTTCTTCTGGCAGTTCAGTGCTTTCATCAGCTATTGTTCCTGTGTCTGGAGGGAACCAGCAGCATTCTATTAGGCCTAGTACGTCTGAGCCTTTTCCAGGCTCACTTGCAATCCAGCCTGGTGGTGCACAGCCTCAGCAAGCCCAGCCAGTGGTAAAACAGGACCACCGTGCCTCAGTCCAGACACATAATATGCCAAATTCATCTGGACTTCCAGTGAGATTGCAGAATTCTGCTTCCAGTCAGCCCCAATCTCCATGGCCAAGGATGACTCAAACTGATGTTCAGAAATATACAAAAGTATTCATGGAAGTAGACACTGATAGAGATGGGAAAATCACTGGGGAACAAGCACGGAACTTGTTTCTTAGTTGGAGATTACCAAGAGGTATATTTCATCTACTTCCTTGACATTTTGCTTGGACAGTTGGCCTAAATGCTATCTTTATTTTTCTACTTCACTTGTGCTCTAGCTGTGCATGCATTAGGAAATCAACTTAAATGTGATTAATTACACATTGCAGAACTAGCTTTTGCATTTGATAGCATTTGCTTTTTTGTGTGTGGCTGTTGGGGAGGGTTCTGTTCAGTTTTCACAGTCTCCATGTATATTACTTTTCAATGGCTATCTAATTTCCTGAACATTATGTGTATGCCATGTTTTATATTTTTCAGAGGTTTTAAAGCAGGTCTGGGACTTATCCGATCAAGATAATGATAGCATGCTTTCTCTTCGGGAGTTTTGTATTGCATTGTACCTAATGGAGCGACACAGGGAAGGACGTGTTCTACCAGGAGTACTTCCAAGTAACATTGTGCTTGATTTACCAACTACTGGTCAACCTGCTGGTCTCCACAGTGCGGTACCTTGGGGAAATCCATCAGGTGGGTGCCCAATAATTAGCAGGTTTTATTTTACTACTACTACCATTACTGGTATAACCATTCAGATAAATGAAAATTTTATATTTTCTTATTTTTGTGTCTCTGCTCCCTTTTATCTTTTGAAGGTTTTCAACAACAAGGGACGACTGGTTCTGGCGCTCGACAAGTGAGCCCTGCTGCTGGTCGGCCACCAAGGCCTGCTGCTGTCTCTCAGTCTGATGAAGGACCTCAGAACAAGCAGCAGAAATCTAGAATTCCAGTCTTGGAAAAGAACCTCATAAATCAGCTGAGTTCTGATGAGCAAAATTCAATTAATTCAAAATTTCAAGAAGCAACAGAAGCTGATAAGAAGGTACCTATTATTTATTTATTTATTCTTTGCATCATTTCTATGGTTGCACTTTTTATAGGGCTTACGTTACAAGGGGAGTGTAAGTTACTCTTTTTCCCCCAGTACCATATTTGCAGATTCTTGTTTTATTTTGATTAGAAAGTTTCCATATTTTTACCTGTCTTTGCAATATTGCTGTAATTTTCTTATCTATGGACCATTTGTGAATTCTTATTTTGATTGGATTTTTAGTTTCATATTGAGCCAACTCTTTATGGGGTATACATATCCTCTATGGTAATCTTTTAAGATCAATTAATTTGAGGATGTGCTGAGATGACATTTTAAGTTATTGTTGGTTTCAATCATGAAGTGTGCTTACACATTTTGGCTGATAGTTGAAACTTATAGAGATACAAAAATTATTAGCTGTTGTTGGTATCTTTGAAGATAGCATGGAAATATCATATTCTAGATTGTCATTTGTGCGAAGCATATCATTATTGCAGTCCATGTATGCATGATAAAATTATTGTGTTTCAATTGAACACAGTCAATTCTCATCTTTTTTATTTCTTTTGTTAAATGCAGGTGGAAGAACTTGAGAAAGAAATTGCAGAGGCCAGAGAGAAAATAGAATTCTACCGTGCAAAAATGCAGGAGCTTGTGAGTGTTTTCCTTTTGCTTTCTTTCTTTGTATCCTTTTATAGCCTGTTTAAAGAAAAAGTGATTATGTGATGCATTATATTAGAGTTTTCTTTCAGAAGTTACTGTTTTCTGCTTCTGAGAAAAGCACTAGAACAATATTTTCATAAGTTTTGTTATTATATACAAGAACATAATTCCTACATCCCTACATCCCATACCATTATTTTTATTCTAAATATCACAGTTTTGTTAACAAAACTAATCATCTTTTACTATAGGTCTGCTGAACATAATTACGTAATCACATGTCTTCTCTTAGCTTTTGGTTGCTTCTGCAGATACCTAGGAACTAATGCCAAAAACCAAAAGAAAAGATGCCTATGAAACAGACATGTTCCGTTGTGAACACATATTGTAATCACTTTTACACAATGAAATTGTGGGTACCTAGAAGAGTCAATCATGTACAAGCTGCCTTTCATGTTCTTCTTATGGTTAATAGTGTCATGTTAACATTCATTTTTTCTCTGTCTTTTCACCTTTTTAAAACAAATTTCTTGTTCTTTTTCCCATAGAAGGTTCTGTACAAGATCAGATGTGACAATTGTCTTAATAAGGTCATAGAAAGGATATATGCCTTTCATGTTTTTCTTAGGGTTAACAGTGTCATTTAATGTTTGTTTTTTTATTTATTTTTTCCTTTTCTATGGTTAGTAGGTCATAGAAAAGAGTAAAGAATATAAAAGCTGTCTTTCATGTTCTGCTTATGGTTAATACTTAATGGTGTCATGTTAGTATTCATTTTGTGCTCTTACTTTCACTTTTTTTTTTTATAAACAATATTTTGGTCTTTTCCCCATTAAAGGTTCTGTACAAAAGCAGATGTGACAATCGTCTTAATGAGGTCATAGAAAGGATATCTGCTGACAAGCATGAGGTATCTTTCTTTTTTAAAATTGCACGTGTTTGTATTACCTCAATTATCGTAATATTTATTTTTTGCTGCATATATTAATTGCAGGTTGATATTCTAGCAAAGAAATATGAAGATAAATGTAAGCAAGTAGGAGATTTATCATCCAAGTTAACTACTGAGGAAGCCACATTTCGTGACATTCAGGTGCAATGAAATATGGTTTTTTCATCAATTGATAGCTTAATAGCATATATGCTATTATGCTAAAAAGTGTTTTTTTTTGGCCTGTTTTGCTTCATGCTGTCGAATGATTTATTTATGTGTAGGAGAAAAAAATTGAATTGTATCAAGCAATTGCCAAGATGGAACAGGATGGAAAAGATGATGCCACTCTGCAGGTACATTTTAATATTACCAGGGTTTGCACATCCATCTTGAGAAATTGTTATCAACTTCCATATCTCATTTAGTCATCTGAAAATTTCAGGATCATGCTGATCATATCCAAACAGACCTTGATGAGCTGGTGAAATTTCTGAATGAGCGGTGCAAGAAGTATGGATTACGTGCTAAGCCCACAACATTATTGGAGCTACCCTTTGGTAAATTCAAATTTACAATTGATGTTGTTATATCCGTTCAGTCGTTCTAAAATCTTTTTTCATGTCTATAACTTTATTATACGGTATTTAATGCATTTGTTTTAGAGATCAGCTTTGTTTTCATAATTTGAGGAAGTTGCCTCAAGTTGCTGAACTACTGGTTTTGAATCAGCATTGATATTATTTGTGCCTGTGCAACTTGATACAGGTTGCCTGATCAAGTGGCATTTAATATATACAGTTTATTTATATTTTCTGTAACCTTTAACTGATTTTGTTGCACAGCTGTGTTTGGACAGGCTCTATACAATAATTTATAAACTCTTCCCTTATTACAAATCTTTTCTCATGTTCAAATTTTTTTTTGGAAATCAATTTAAATACAATATGATGCTTTGCTATTGATGCTTGTATAATATCTGTGGTTCTTTTGTATTAGCTGTAATGTACTTGCTATCAAATATTGAAACTCTGATGTTTTTGAGACAGTATGCAAGATAGACTATGCATTATTAATACATTTGATTTGGTTGATGTTGCTGTATCTGGATGATTGCATTTATCTACCATGATTTTAATTAAGCCCAGAAAACTATTTATAGCATACAAGTTGGCTCTTCATTTTTTTTAAATGAAATTGCTTCCTTTTAGTTGACTTATTTAATAAGTGCGTTGTTGGCTTCTTGATACAATTATCATGTTTTCTTTTTTGGTCATTTTAGTTGTGTCCGGTCATTTCTCTTTGCTTTGTGGTTGTGTGGTGCTCTGCTCACAAATCCCATGTTCTCCCCTCTAGTATATCTTATAATCTAATGACTATGTGCATATTGAATTTGTTCTTGTATACTGTGGTCTCACTCCATTTTATCCTGTAAGGCTGGCAACCTGGTATCCAAGAAGGAGCTGCTGACTGGGATGAAGATTGGGATAAGCTTGAAGATAAAGGTATCCAAAATAACCTTAACTAGATGTGATAATCTGTTAACTGAATAAAAAAATTTTCGTGCCCATTATGTGGCATTCACCATTAATTAATACGGTGAATTTTGTACAAGGTTATGAAACCACATTAACATTCCTAAGTTTTATTTTATCTGAGCAATGTTGTATTATTAATGAATATGCCACACTCTTATTGGAAGACTCCCTTCCATATCTTCAAACTCAATTTGATTTCATTTGCATTTTGATAAGAATATTCTCGAGATTCTTATAATTAAGGAAATAAATGCAGACATCTCTTCAGATCAGAGAAGATATCACAACATTGAGGCAAGAGCCAAATCTTAAGGCATGCCTACTCATGACACCGACATTTTTATTAGCAGAAAGATAAATGATAATATCAGAAGACTACTAAGTAAACTGATCCATGTCAGATCTCACTCACCTTTTGTAGCAACTAAATAATTAAGGGTGAGAGAATAAAGAAATTGAGTACTCATAGTTTACTTTTACAATTGGGTGCTGCGTCAAAAGAACCAGTATAATATTCTCTTCTATACACTCACAGACTTTAGTTTCTATCATTTTATCTGCTTGCCTATACCTCTCTTATGTCCATATTTCTTTTACACCAAGTACTTTGTTAGCTGGTAATGTACTTGACTACTTGGTTGTTTCATTATTTTATCTGTGTAGCTGTTTATCTAAATTTGAGGGATCCATTTGAACAGTTTTGTAGTTCAGGAGACAGGACCATCCAAGAGTAGGTGTATACTGAAGAGAAATCATATGATATTAATGGATTTAAAATAATGATTAACTGCTATTTCTTTATTTTCTGACCTGCCTCTGTTTTCTTTTGGAGTTTTTTTTTTTAAAAGACTAAATAAATTTGGTTATTCACTATGCTTGCAGAATTTGTTTTTGTCAAAGAACTCACTCTTGATGTGCAAAACATTATAGCACCTCCAAAGCAAAAGTTGCCATCAGCTGTGAACACCAAAGCCGTGGACACAAAAGCCATGAACACTGACAGTCCTACATTTCCAGCTTCTCCTAAGAGTGATGATAAATCAGAAAAGCCCCAGACCACCGATGAACAGGGAGTTGGCAATGGACCTGTTCATAATAAAAGTGAAGATGATTCTGCAAAAAGTGCTCCCAATAGTCCATTTGCGAGCAGTGCTGTTGGAAGCCCACATGGGGATTTTGCTGATTCTGACATTAGCAAGACAGCTGGTGAAGATAGCTCACCCCATGATCAAGAAACCTTACATGAAACCCAAAGGTATGGGTTTTTAAGATTTGTGCACCAGCTTCCCAAATACTGGCCAATTGCTCAGTTGCTCATTTGTCCTAGTGAAATATGAGGATTGAGGATGCTAACCTCCTTAGACTTGAGTTGAGACTTGCACCCTAGCATCATCTACACAATTTTCCTGCCATTAACTAAATAGAATTTTATGTTATCATCTCTTCAACCATTGGAGGTTTTTGGAGGCATCTTTGCCTTCTCCCTCTCCTTAAGCTGTTCATATCCCTCTAGACTGAATCGTCCCCTTTCCCTTTCTCTCTTTTACTCCAACTTGTTTCTGCAATAAGGATGCATTTAACTTTTGTTAAATTTGATTACTGATTTTAACTTTGTTTCTTTGTATCTCACTCTAGTGGCCAAAAAATGTTGGTCTTTCTGAAAATTCATGAACAATGGAAATTAATTCCAGATTTGTGAGAACAGAAAATGGAACATAATGAAAATTGGATATGCACCATGCTATTCAAGGATTCCGAGAGGGAGTCTGAAAATTCCTAGTTAAAGGAAAATTAATTGCAGGTCTTCAAATACATGAAATGGAACATAAAGAAAATGGGATATACACCATACCATTCAAGGGTTCTGAGAGATAGTGAGATACCAAGGGGAAATCTGTCGTAACTTGAGAAACAAAATATACCATGAAATCCTCACATATGCATTTTGAAAATATTACCATTCTTGTTAAGGCTTCTTTGGTTTGAGAAAACATATTCTGTTTTTATATTCTATTATAATTATAAAAAAAATACCTTATCATTACTATGTTTATTTCCAAGAATCGTATAGGAAATAGTGAGAATAGTAAATTCTTATTTTTACTATTTCATATATAAATATTTGAATACCACAAATGAAGTAATAATAAGGTAACATTTTAATAATTATTGCTAAAATAGAGAATGAGAATAGAAAACACTTTGTCAAACCAAAGAAGCCATAAGTTACTTGTGCTTTATTAGAACTTCACCTTTCAAGATTTATATATTATAGTGTTAAAATTTATGTATTATACCAACAAATCAAGTTGATTAGGTTCCATCCTATTAGAGTAATTTACTCTAATACATCCCATGCATTATTATGGGGTCTTGGTCAGGTTGAGTCAGGTCCAATCAAATGACTCAAAATTTTTTAATTAGATATCGATTATGCTAAACCCGTTTCTATCCATACTATTGAACATTTCTAGTGCAAGATATGGACTTTCATTCCCATCTTCTGTTTGACATCAATTTCGTTATACATCTGTGTCAATAGATACCTATATACTTCGTTTCATACTTCTACATTTTATACATATTGTCATGATGCAAAATAATTTACATATAATCTTGCATATGTAGTGATCATGATGGTGTCAAGTCTGTGTTTTCTGGAGACAAATTTTTTGATGAACCAAATTGGGGAACATTTGACACAAATGATGATATTGATTCACTTTGGGGATTCAATGCCAATAGCATCACTAAGGAGGTATGCCAATTCTCACTCCTTAATGTATTGTCTTGGCAAAATTAGTTCTTATATCAAAACACGTGATTGCTAGTTTTGCATATATGTTGTCTAAATTTCTCTTGCTTTATTCTACTTTGTCATGACCAGTGGTGGTTTTGAAATTATATAGACTGAATGGAAAATAGAAGAATGTAGAGTATGTGTAACTGGAAAACACTAACCCAATAGTCTAATACACCTACGAATACTAATATTGTAGTAAGTACAAGTGTAGTATAATGTATAATTAGTACCATTACTCTTAGCATGATAAGACTCCTCACACAATAATGATTGTCCTAATATTCTAACTCTCCCCCTAGTTGAATATTAGTGCGCTCTCATCTTGTTAACAATTAACCCACATACACAAAACAATATAAAAGCATAGTAACTTGAAACTTTGACAGGCTCACCAAAGCAAACAATGACTTACAAATACATTTACCAAAATGGAGCATTAATAGAGAGACAACACAGTGATTAGATGTTTGGAATGATGTACTTCTGAAGAGTTAGTCAAGATGTTGCATTGCCTATGAAGAAAAATATTGCTGGGAAGATGCATACCAGGAAATTGTCACTGCTGAGAACAGCCAATGTCGTAGTACAAAATCATTAAAGGCACTCTTATTTGGCAAGAGATTATTGACAAGCGTATACAGCAAGGCTCAAATATACTAAATTTCTTCTAATTTATCTATAACGCATTATTGTGAAACTTTAAACTGAATAAACTTCAAATTCTGTTGAGATCTCACAATGATGGCCAAAGTAGAACTTGTAAAGGCTTGGACAATCCTCAATTCAAGCTTTTGTAGTTGAAATAAGCTAAAGTCTATTATAGATCAAATATCAGGCCACCCTCAACTGTCCAAAAATTTACCTGGTCTTGTGGCTTTCCTATTCTAAGAATAATTTTTGGTAAAGTTACTCCATTCAATAACTTATGGTGTGTGTTGAATTTTAACAATCAAACTATTAAATTAAAAGTTGTTAATGCATAGATCAAGTCTACAAATTTTGAAAAAATTTGAAAACACTTGATACTTTGTTTTATTAAGTCAAATTGATAGATAATTATAAAAGCATTTTGTATGTCGATTTGAATCTATATAACGAAGTATCATATGGTTTTCAATTTTTTTAAAAATTTGTAGACTTGATCTATAAATTAAGAACTTTTAATTTAATTGTTGAATCGTTGAAATTCAACATACACCATATTAGTGAATGGAGTAACTTTACCAAGAGTTACTTTTGGAGTAATTTAATCATTGAATTAACAGTTTTTAACATATAGATCAAATTTACAAATTTTTTAAAAATTTGAAAATTATATGATATTCTGTTATATAAATTCAAATCAATGTATAAAAGGCTTTTATGATTATTTGTCAATTTGAATTAATGAAACAGAGTATCAAATATCCTTCAAATTTTTAAAAAGTTTACGGACTTAATCTATGCATTAAGAATTTTTAATTTAACGGTTAGATTGTTGAAATTTGATGTAAAACATGAGTTATTAAGTGAAGTAAGTTTTGGTAGATTTTCTTTTGAATAAGTAGATTCCTTCTCATATATATATATATGGGGATTGCTAACATACTCTCACCTATTTTTTAGTTAAAGTATGTTAGCAACCTACGCCAAAATCTTAAGACAAAAAAATCACTCATTCCTTTATTTCAATTAATTCAATACATGGGTATTGTAGTAATTTAATTTTTTTAAATCAATAAAAAATTCTTATTGATACTCTCAACTAATTTCATTAAGGAGCTTAACTACGTTACTGGTGTCGAACACCTCGTGCACATATAGGAACCGCTACGGGTTGTCTGACGGACAATATGGCACAAAAACACACTCCTATGTGCACTTCTAATGTTGAATCTTGCAAGTCGCACATGGCGAATTCAACCACGACATTGACATACCTTACTATAATTATCAACTACTACTCTTCACTTGTTAATTAAGTTTTGTTTTATTGCGCAACCACGACTCCGACTTAATCACTAACATTGCTCCACACTTCTAATTCAATAAATATTTCTAATTTTTTTTCTTTTCCATTCATCAATAAATTAGTATACTTTTGATTCTTTTCCAAAATGCCAGAATTTGAAAAGGGGGAGGGAGGAGCTCTATGGGTTTTGGCAGCATTTGAAGATGGTGGATGGCACATGCTGTCATGGAGGCATGTTTTGGGGATGATGGTGACTCATTGTTTTTTATTGATTAAGGCTAGTGGTTTTATCAGGATGGCGAAGAAGATATTCTGGGAATGATTTTTGGAATGTGAGGATGGTTCCACTGAACCATTGGGAGAGATTAAAGAAGAGAGAGAAATTAGTTGAGAGTATCAATAGGAATTTTTTTATTGATTTTAAAAAATTAAATTACTACAATTATACAATACCCATCTATTGAATTAATTAAAATAAAGGAATGAGTGACTTTTTTATCTTAAAATTTTGATGTAGGTTGCTAACATGTTCCAACTAAAAAATAGGTTAAAGTATGTTAGAAATTCCCCCTAATATATATATATATATATATATATATATATATATATATATTTATTTATTCATATATCTCCATGTTCAAGATGTGTGCAATACCAAGATTGTGGCATGAAAAGTTGACCCTTGGTGCCATACTATTGTTATATTACAACTCCATTTTTTCACTCAGTATTTATTGCCTAAGATAAAAAGATGGACTCTAAATTGAACTTGATACAAATATATTTTTAGGGGAATATTTTGCTGACACCTCCATTTCTTACGCATCCTTTATATTTTTATTATATAAATTATGAATTCCTTATTCACTGGAGTCTTACATTGGACTTCTTTTGGCACCCTGTCATTGACTTTTTCTAGATAAATCAAGATTCTGCTGGCCTTTTGCTTCCTGTAATAAATTAGAATCAAACCCAGCCTTAGTTTGCCTCCGCATGGTTATTGAGAATATGACTTGGATGTTAACGAGATCTCACTGGTTACATTACATGATACTTGTGATGGAATATGAAGGCATGGTGATTTGGTTAGGAGGAATTCAGAGCTTGTATAAAATTTTATGATTGTCTTAAAATCAATAGGATAGATGTGTCATTCTTTGCAAATGATTAATGGGTTCAGAGGAGAAAACATAATGTAATCTGAATGAGGTTAGATCTGCAGCCCAAAGTTACATAAACTAAAGATATTCGAGGAATGATGAAAACTACCATAATTACACCTATTTTACTGAACCCTCATCTTCTGTTAATGTACTTGGTAATTTCTTAAATTTAACATTGAGTTGCCTGTATGTGTTTGATCAATGGGTATTTATACTCTAGCAGTCTACTGATTACTTTTGGGAAATTGTTTTCACAGGAGAGAGATCTTGACAGAGCTGGAAACAACTATTTCTTTGATTCTGGGGAACTGGGCTTAAATCCCATCAAAACAGGTTCACCAAAGGTTTCTGATCCCTTCCAGAGGAGCAGTGGATTTAGTTTTGATGATTCTGTTCCAAGCACGCCACTTTTCACCTCAAGCAGCTCTCCTCAAAGGCCAAAGGAGTGGTTGGAAACTGCTTTTGACTTCTCAAGATTTGATTCTTTCAGAACACATGATAGTGTTCCTTTGCCTGCTCGGGAGACGACAGAGCAATTTGATTCAGTACGCAACAGTGTGGATTTTGATCATGTTCATGGGTTTCCAGCTTTTGATGACTCGGATCCCTTTGGCTCTGGGCCGTTTAGGACTTCATCGGATAGTCAAACTCCAAGAAGAGGATCTGATAATTGGAGTGCTTTTTAGTTTAGCAATTATACCATGCATTATTTCTGTTTTCAGACCTTCCGACTGTTGCCTCTGGTGGAGTGGGTTGTCTTGTCTGCCTCACTATTGGGAACCTATTATGTGTAATGTATTTCTTGTATTTAATCCTGTGTATTCCTTTTTTCTTGGGTTTGTCTCCAGCAATTCCCTGAAAGTGAAGGCCTGTCTATATTTTTGGTTTGTTGGTTGATAATTTTGCATAGTTCCGTAGAAGAGATTGTGATATTGATAACTATCTGATTTGAGTGTTGTTTACTGAGCGGAATTTCATTATGATTCTTTTTTATTCATGTGATGAAGTATAACTTGAATTTAATTTGTCTAGTTAAGTTTAGAGATGTGAACAATACATTTTCTAACACAATTTTATTATTGACAGGATTTTATTGAAATTCACGTAATTTCATAAGAACACTCGGGTTGGTTCTGATTTCGTAGTGTTTATTGAAGGGACTAGATGAGTATTAGATTAGTTATCAAATTATGTCGTGTTTGGGTGGAGTATTTTAAAATTAGAAGGAAATGCAGTGAAATTGAATTGTCATCATTTGTGAATGTATTTGTTTGCATAGATAAGACATTTAAATATTGTTACAAGCTTTTGTGAAACACGATCAACATCAAATTAATTTTTAAAAGTCTTAAGAAAATTGTAAAACCACCTTTCATTTTTTCTCATTGTCTATCTTATGAAGTGATTCAAAGATCAGAGATACTTAACAAAATTAATTACGCATGCAGCATTACTTTTGTGGCATATAAAATTTCGCAGGAGTAACGGCAGCTGCCCGTTAAAGAAAAGAACTGCTCTTTAAAGAAAAAGGGAGAAATTATTGTTAATGAAATCCAATGAGGAATATTTAATCTTAGTAGATGTAAAAGAATTTAATTATTGATAAAAGTCATATAAAATTTATTCAGCAAGGGCCGTTATATTTCAACGTATAGACCAATATTTTCATCGAGAAATTTGTGAAAGGTCATTACTTGTTATTTCGTTAATGCGTTGCGTGGTCGTTTTCATTTAGTTAGTAATAATGAATTAAGTATTTTTTTACGATAAGTTTTTTTTTTACACCCTTTATGATTAAGTTTTAGGAAAAGGGATGAAATATCTTAAAGTCTCTAGACTTAAAAAAAATATATAAAAAACTTGGTGAAGTTCTAAATTAAATTTATCAAATGCTAATGATTATTATTTATTATTGAGTGGTCATTTATTTTCATTTAATGATTAACAATAGTATATAATTTCTTATATTCTACATTAGATGGTCAAGTTACTACTATTTTTGAGGGGAAGTTGTTTATTTTCTACATTAGATGTTTCTTATATTCTCTATCTCCGATGTCGCCTTTACTCTTCACCTTTCTGGATGGTTGATTGGTTGCCTTGTTAAGTCAAGGAAGATGTACATGTAAAAAATACTGACCCTCAAGTAAGTAACTCACTTGGTGTACTAAATGCAAATATATAGTGAATATTAACTTTATCTCAACATGCATATACATGTAATTTTCTTGTAACTAAAATAGATAAAGGATAGGGCCG